GTGCAGGTGTAGGTCCAGTTGTCTCCATCTGTGGGGTGTTTCAGGGTCAGACTGAGGTCTCCAGTTTTCAGCAGGTCTTCATTCATCTTCGTTCGGTCTCTGTAATCCTGGTGCTGTTTGTGAGGCTGGTCAGAGCCGTTCTCATACACGTGGACCTCATCACCATCACTGTCTATCCACTCCACTTTAACATCTTTGGGCAGGTGAACTGCGGCTTTGCAAAGCAGCTGGACTGACTCCACCCCTGAATCTACCTCCACCTGGGGAACTGAGAGAGCGAGAGAGAGAGAGATAGGAAGACTTTTTGAGATTTATGGTGGGAAATTGTTTTGAAAAACCTTTTTATTATAATGAACATGATGTTCCACTTAATCATATTTAATTGTTATAATGTTGTTGTTTTTTTGCTATTCTGAGAGAACAGTGGATTTCATTTATTTTCATTTATTAAAGAAAAAAGCTATCCAAAGCTAGCTGGCCCTGTGTGAAATATTCTGAATTAACTGTGATGAACCACACTTCACTGCCACATCCCCTGACAGACCGGCTGAATCAAGAAATCGCTTAAATAGACAGAGTGAATCTCAAACAGCAGCACATCACGCCACGATCTAAAGAACCAGCTGAAGAACAAAGGAAGTGACATCTGTCAGTGTGGAAAGGCTTACAGAGACATTTCTATGGCTTTGGGACCCCAGTGAGTCACAGTGAGGACCTTTATCCACACATGGAGAAACCTCAGAAACAGATTAGTTCAAGAGAAGATCGATGACTCATCCAGGAGGTCACAGAAGAACCCAGGTTTGAGTCCCACTAACAGCATTTCATAAAGAGAACATCACAGCAACAGTCAGACATGGTGGTGGTGTGATGGTGGGGACTGCTTTCATTCAGGATGACTTGCTGTAACTGAACCATGACCTCTGCCCTCTAACAAAACATCCTGAAGGAGAACATCCGGACATCAGTTAATGCCCTGAAGCTTAAGAGCACTCAGGCAGCAGGACAATGATCTGAAACATTCCAGTAAGTTGACCTGTGAATGGCTAAAAAACAAAACAACAGCGTGGAGATCACATAATTTTAAATGTATTGATATTGCATTCAGATGTTTAAACATACTGGTATCATGTTAACCTTTATTACAGGTCCAGTTATAACCACTTTAAACTGTTGAGTGCTTTTTATAATCTTAAATGTTTATATGCAGATTACATTGCATTATAAAAGAAAGGCCTAACTCTGAGTACACTCTGTGCCAAAGTAGACAGGAAACTGCATGCTTTGCAGAAAGGGAAACTAAAGCAGAGTCTAAGTGCAAGTTATTTTGAGGAGCTGTTTGGATGATGCTATTTGAATAACCAGGTTATTCATTATTATCTTTTATTCATTTATATCTTTTGATTAAGCTTTTAGTAGTGGTTCCTGATTAAAACATTTGTTCAACCTATTACATATATATAGTTTTAGTTAGGTTATTAGGTACATGAGAATTGGCCTCTCTTCTCACAAGACAGAGTTCGTGTGAGGTCGAGACACACACACACATACACAGTGTTGGGGAGTAACGGAATACATGTACCGCCGTTACGTATTTAAAATACAAAATATGAGTAACTGTATTCCGTTACAGTTACCGTTTAAAAAGGTGGTATTCAGAATACAGTTACTTTGTTGAAATAAATGGATTACACTGCGGTACTTTCCTGTTTCATTTTGTCGCGGGTCAGGACTGTTTGGGTTTTGTTTGACAGCTACGTTCTGTTGTTCCAGGCGGCAGCGTTACGGTTGCCATGGTTACAGGGTGACGCTCTCGCTCTGCGTGTTTCCTGGGTGAGAGAGCGCCTTTCTGTTGTTGTGCTAAGCTAACAGGCAGAATGCTACAAGCATAGCTCTAAAGAATGTTGCATCATGGGCAGTGTAGTCCGTGCTGCTGGGAGAATGGACTGCCATACACGTTATGTGTCTGTGAGCGCTAGGAGGGAGAAAAAGGAAAGGTACGAGCAGTCATCGAGCAGAAACGGGAGCTGGAAGCATGTAAATATAATAATAACCACTGCAGCCAAGAAGAGTGCCTGACGAGCCCAGTTGTAAGTAAGCTATTAAGACTCGACTGTACACCGTGTTCGTGTTTTCCTCCGAAACAATAAGTTCCGTTGGAGCAGCCTTTCAACGCCTCTCTCTGTCTCTATCAAAGTTGACCCAGACAACAAAGTAAAGCTAGTTTTCAGCTACGAGCCCGACACGAACCCGACATATTAGCCAGAGGTCCCTTTACTACGGTTCGGAGGCGGAGATCTACAGCTGATGTTGTGCAGTGTTCATCTCCCCACGCTGTGTGTGTTCATTAAAATCAATTGTTTGACCAAGCTCTTCTGGACCATGGTTGTGTTTACTCTCCTCCTCAATATTAAACCTTAACAACAGTTTTGGAGTAAGTGATAAAAGACCTAACACACACAGAATCTATTTTTTTAACCATCACAGTTTAACATGATTCTGAAGAAATCATAAATGGTCGTCATTTCCTTTTCCCGGGTTTTACTTTCTTCTCATCTGTCTGCTTGGTTGGATTGATCACCTGTGCATACAGCTCACCATTACTTCAGTAATACTCTGATTACATCAGTAAATACTCTAATTTCTTACTTCATCTCTGGACTCGTGCATTTGAAGCTCATTTTGTATCTTACATGAGTTATAAGAGAGCACGAAGACATTTTGTGTTTTCTTGTTTCCGACTGTTGAACCAAACCGGGTTGTAAAGCCTGTTGGGTTTCTGTTCTGATAGTTTCACAAGAGTCAAAGAGTCAAAAGTAAATTTGCATTTTTAAAGGTGGAAAGTTCTAAACATTTGTTTCAGACAATAAATCAAGTGTGTAGCTGATACATGTTCCCTCTCAGTTCTACATCACTGACCTCCGACATAGAGCTGCACTCTGTTCTTCCTCAGGATTTTCTCCCTCCTGCTGTAGACGGTGCAGGTGTAGGTGTCTGCGTCCCAGCCTGTGGGCTGTTTCAGGGTCAGGCTGAGGTCTCCAGTTTTCAGCAGGTCTTCATTCATCTTCGTTCGGTCTCTGTAGACCTGGTGCTGTTCTTCAGGCTGATCAGAGTTATCCTCAAACACGTGGACCTTCCTGTTTTTTCTGTTCGTCCACTCCACTCTGACGTCTTCAGGCAGGTGAAGTGTGGTTTTACAGGGCAGCTGGACAGACTCCACCCCTGAATTCACCTCCACCTTTGGGACTGAGAGGATAACAAAGCAGCACTGAGCTCATTTTCTCTGACTGAAATTTAACATCAAAGTAGCCTCATGTTACCCAAAGTTAAGAAGTCAGTGGAAACAAAGATTGAAATAAAATAGAAATAAACATTTGAGGATAAATGATACGATAACTTTATTGTCGCCTCAGGGGAATTTGTTGTGGACTCAAGTACTGACACAGAAGCTGCCTACACAGAGTAAATACACAACAGAAAAACAAGAAATGATTTTAAAAAATGACTTTAATAATACAATTCTT